CCAATCGACAAACAACTGGGTTCCTACCTACTGCTTGGTAACAGAGGCGAAAACAATCTAAGCTCAGTGTACATATAATGTAAAATTACTAGTACAGTATTGAGCGGTTTACAGTTGTCTTTTGAATAAGAAACTTATCAATTGAAATTTTTATGGCATGCTTCATACTCCTGTATTTTAGAAACAATGCAATAAATTTCAGTTAGCAGTAAGAGTGTGAAGAGGCGACAGATCAAAAGTGTTTTAACTGAGTAAAAGCCACGTCTGACAAATATGAGATTTTGTGATGTTTAGGCCTTTATAAGTGAGTCAGATTGCAGCACATTGAATAGAAAGGTAGCAGAGTGGGTGGAGAAGATGGAGCAATTGACAGAAGTGATTACTGATCCCAAGTACAGTCAGCGTGGAACCACACAATTCAGCCTGGACTTGCTGTTCACTGTACCTTCTGCTGCGTGTTTAAACTGCCTGTGGTTGGGGATTAATAATAATAATCCTTGCATTTGCTATAACTTTATCACGTCATTGAGATGTCTCAAAGGGCTTCACAGAATATATCGTAAAGTGGATTGACTGCATATTTTGTGGGCGAAATCGGATTGTGTGGAACAGGGATGAGATACGAGAGGCAAGGGAGAAGTGACAAAGCAGGGAGAGAGAAAGTGAAACCAAGAAGATGGGAATCAAGAAAGGAAGGAATATAAAATGACAACATGAAGAGTACGTCTCATTGGGATGGCTGGATCACAGCTGCCATGTTTCTCAAAATAAGATCTCTATCACAATCTAATCAATTGGCTGCCGCATTTCGCCCACAAAATACAGTTATTCCACTTTACAGTTTATTCTGTGAAGCATTTTGGGACGTCTCGAAGATGTGATAAGATGCTATATTAAATGCAAGGATTATTATTATTACTTATTCCTATTCAATGAAAATCAAAAATAGTTGTACAAATGTAAACTATCTTTACCAGCCACGATATCACACTTCACACGTACAATAAATTCTTACTCCAGGGCTCCGTTTGAGAAGGAGCATGAAAACTGTTTTTCTTTTTTAAGTGTTGTGAGCCATTTGTCTTTCCTGCCCTGACTTGCCTACTCATCGCTACAAACCCTTCTGAAGTTGCTTGTACAGTATTGGACAGTATTGGTTAAATTCCACACAGTCTGGGGTCCCAAGCCTTTGCTCTTTCCAGCCTGCACCTAACACTCTCTGGAAGTAGGATTAGGTAAACAGGATGTATCCCTCTGGAGAGAGTGCACATTCCATTCCAAACACAGATAATTTCCATGTATAGGTGGCATGCTTGGAACTCAGTTTGGTTTGGAGACTCTTAAGAACTGTGATGGGTTTCATTCCGGATGTGTCAGACGCCCGGCTGACCAAAATGTGTAATTTGAGTATCCTTTTTCCATATACGTAGATCCACATCCGTGCCATGACCCGCTCTGCCTTCCCCCACCTCCTCAACATCTCCCTGCTCCACCACTGCCTCACCCCTCAGGCTACTGAAACCCTCATTCACGCGATTATCACATCTAGGCTTGACTACGCCAACTCCCTGCTTGTTGGCCTTCTCAACTCTTCCCTCCAGAATCTGCAGATCATTCAGGACTCTGCAGCTCGTGTCCTCTCCTGCGACTGGCTCCATGACCCCATCACCACCTTCGCCTGGCTCCATTGGCTCCCCATCCCCCAGAGGATAGAGTTCAAAATCCTCGCCTTCAAACCCCCGCAACGACCTTACTCCTACTCTGTGACCTGCTAATCCCATATCAACCTGCCCGCTCCCTCTGCTCAGCAGGCTCTAGCCTCTTCCTCGCCCCCTCACCTGCCTCCTTAAAGTTATGACTCAAGACCCTCCTCTTCGACTGAGCCTTTGGCCACCCTCTCACCTACCCTCCACCCTCCCTCCCTGACCCTCCCCCTGCTCGGGTCCAAATCCCTGACTGTCCATTGCCTTGGGATGTCCTCCTGACGTGAAAAGCCCAATAAAAATTCAATTTTCTATTGTATCCAAGGGGCATCTGAGTTCCCGAACTGCTGGTGTCTCACAGGTTTATTTCCCAGGCCTGGTCACGGGGCCTGATCTGTTGAACAGACCAGCAAGCGAGTGGCAGCTGAGGCTATTCAGTACTTGGGTCAACTGGTACCAGTGTGTGTATATTAGTGTTGAGCTATTGACACTAAGTGAGAGTCTGAACCGTACTTACGCAGTGGGGATTCGTAACATTCTATTATAACTGCAGCGTCGTTATCATTGTTCAAATATTCTCGCATCTGCATATAGACTGTGAATTTGTTTCTATAAATACAAGACCTGAATTTTAATAGATGGACTGACAGCCCTGAAAATGTTTAATTGTACAGTAACTGTCAGGCTCTATTATCACCATAAAGTATATTCTTTGTTCAACAAAAACAGGAGTGTCTGTGTCAAAATCACTGGTGTCAATGTGCTGGTGTAGGGAGGAGGGGCAGTAACCCGACCTTAAGCAGAGCAGCAGCTGGGAGAGTGTCACGAAGGCAAGATAGTGTAAATGCCTCCTGTCTTAGTCAGAGGGGGGGTGGTTCGTGTTTAGCCAGAGACTTGGTATCTTTAGCTGTTTTGCCCACAAAATACAGTTAATTCACTTCACAGTATTTTCTGTGAAGCGCTTTGAGACGTCTCGAAGACATGATAAGACGTCATATCAAATGCAAGGATTATTATTATTACTGTTGATCAAGCTAAGACATACTGTTGTTTTGCCCACAAAATACACTTTACAGTATTTTCCGTGAAGCGCTTTGAGATGTCAAGAAGCGCCAAGTCATATGCTAGGATTATTATTACTATTGATCAAACTAAGACATTTTGTCATAAGGCTGCCATGACACTGGCCACTCGTTTTCAAATTGAACTGAAATTGATTTAAATTTTAATTTTTTGATGATTTATGCATAAAGTAATGTTTGATCCCAAATGAGATCTTTGATACTCGAGGTTAGGACGAATTTACGAATCCTATCTGATTCTGGATTTACTCCTATGTAGCATTTCAAAACGTCCAGAATTTGGCAAATTCTTTAATTCAGTCTTTATTTTGAAGTATTTTTCCTGTTTCTTTTAAGAGCCACAGAATATTCAAACCACTTCAATATTAAGGCGTAATTTAAAAAAAAATTACCAAATCCTGGATGCTCTAAAGTGCTAAATAAATAGTAAATTTAGGCCCGGCTGAATTTGTCCCAATGACCAATGTCAGCTTTATCTTGTATGTGTGTGTGTGTGTGTGTATATATATATCCCATATTGTATATGTGATCCGGAGATAAATATTTTTTTTGTATTTAGTATTGACATTGTGAGTCGGGTGAGAAAATGTTCCTTTTCATCTTTGAGCACAAAATTAATCAAAACCATAACTGTAAATGATGAATACGATGTGCTGGTGCGTCTGTTGGGTTTGGGGTAAAATAAAGAGATAAACCTTAAGAAATTAATCAAAATGAAATGAAATAAAGTGATGAAGTTACCTAGATCCATTTCACAATGAGATAAGGTCCACAATGGAGTACTGCAGTTTAGTGGTTGGAGCACTTGCCTCGCAAACGAGAGATTCCGGCTTTGATTCCTGGGCTGGGTGAAACCTTAGACAAGTTTCCTTACTCCACACGCCTCTGTTTACCTAGCAGTAAGTAGGAACCCGGTTGTTAATCGATTGACGGATCGCTTTTCTGGGCGTAATAATCCTTTCAAAATAAATAATGATAATTTGGACACTCCATCCATGACTGTTTATGGGACACTGTGTTCACAGTTGGCTTCTGCGTTTCACCCACAAAATATACAGTCCGTCCACTTTCTAATATATTTTATGAAGCGCTTTGAGACGTCTCAACGACAAGATAAGGCACTATATCAAATGCAAGGATTATTATTATTATAAGTTGTCTTGTTCAAGTCACAATAAAAATATGCAGCAACACTGAAAACCTCTTTGCTTACAGTCACAGGGTCAGACAGTGCAGGGCAGTGAATCCTGAGCAGCCCATTTGTCATAGGAATAGCTACACAAATCCATTTCTCATGTCCTTGACTGCTGGTGCATCACCTCCTGGTGTGGTATAAAATATGCAAAAACTGAATTCTCAATTCTAATTTAATCACTTCAACAGCAATTAAATTTAGGATGGATCACATACTGGATAATGCCTCCCTCTGCATTACCCGAACAGCAGCTTCAAGCTTGAAGAGCTATCCCAACAGTACCGTAGGATCACAGACTATTACAGCACAGAAGGAGGCCATTTGGTCCATTGTACCTGTGGTGGTTCTTTGAATACCCAATCAGCCCTGGTCTTTCCCCATATCCTTGCAAGTTTTTGCTCTTCAAGTTCCTCTCCAATTCCTTTTTGAAAGTTGTTATTGAATATGTTTCCACCCTTTCAGGCAGCGCATTCCAGACCGTAACAACAAGTCAGTCCAGTGTGATATTTGTGTTTATCACACCGCAGCTTTCTGAGAAAGACTGACTGAATCAGTGCAGAACTGGGAACGGTTTTGTGCTGTCAGCCTCTGGTAACTGGGTTGAGTTACCCAAACTCAAGTCATGTAGGGCCCCAGTGCCCTGTCAGTCTGGACTGGGTTTGAAATCTGGTCCTGACAAGTTTTTTGTTTCGACTGTCACTCAGTCCCCTGCAATGCAGCCTTTACAGTAACAAAAATTTTGGACTCCTATTTCCCTATGTTAGGGACACTTATATTTTGCTGTCTGTACCTTTCGTTTCGCCCACGAAAAATAGTCAATTCACTTTACAGTATATCCTGTGAAGCGCTTTGAGATGTCTCGAAGACGTAATATCAAATGCAAGGATTATTATTAAGCAATATTATTTCCAATCTAGCCTCAGATTTTCTATGTAATTCATATTTTATCTTATATTGTTCAATTAATGGGAAATGTTTGGATTGCAACACGGCTAAATTTTTCCAATGTTTCTTTTTCAGGTAAAAATCTCTACACAAATGAGTACGTAGCAATCAAATTGGTAAGTAAACCTATTTTTAACTAACTTTTTCAACACATTTTACTCTGGCAAGTGAGCCATTGGAGACTCATAGACCTATGTTGCTGTTACAGAGACAATTTCAATATAAACCCTAATATATTTTTGTAACCTCAATGTACATTAAGTCATAATGCAATGGCATGGCTTTTAAAGGGCTCTGTGTGCTTTGCACATTTCCTGAAGGTTTTCATTATTAATATATGGTTGAACAGAAAAACAGATATGTGTGTCGTCTTACTGATTGTGTTTGATTCCATTTTGTGTGGATCTGCCCCATGTTTTGATTAGTTGCTGCCATTTTATATAAATGGAAGGTTAACAGGATTCATTCATTTAATTGTATTCTTTTTCCCCTTGCTTGTCATGAGGCCTGACTACGGGGTTTGACTGGTTTATGCATATTTAAACTGAATGTCCAACGTCTTCCAATTTATCTTACTGAATACCACCCTGGGTTTTGTGGTTGGTTGCAGAGGTTACCATGGTTTGGGATACACAGTACAAGGCATTGGACTTGGACCTCTGGAACATTTAGGTGACTAGCATGTCACAAGCTGTCCTGTAAAGGTCCTTCCACCAAGCTGAAGGCATGTGTCTATCGCATAGCTGATGAGGAAACGCTGAGGTTTGGGTTGACAGCTTCCAAAAGGTGTTACTTGGAGTTCAAGTTTATGTCTATACAGCGCTTGCAATTCACCTTGATTAGTTTGGAGAGAGGCAAGCAGCTGCTGCTCAAACTGTGCACTTGCACCTGGTGAAACCGTTGCTCAATGTGAGGGAAGTGCCTCCAAGCTGTGGGCAGGAATCCCATCTGGTGGCAATGCTCTCACATGTTTCATGCTGAGTTTTGCTGTTCACCAGGAAGCTCCTAGGGTTTCCACTAGTGAGGGCTCAAACCTGCACTTGACGGATGTCAAATGACCAACTAGTGACTATCCTCCTTGGAGTGCGGGAATGGAAATAAGCGGGATCTCCTTGGAACTGAGCTGATTCCAAGGTAACGTCTTTGGCCACGGCGTATTGGAACCAATCCTTGGCTGTTAGGGCTTGTGACTCCCGTGAGTCAGGGGAGACATATTAATGAACAAACTATTTTAACAATCCATCAGCATTATTTGCTCCATTTGTAAACTTATGAGACCTTATTATCAATATCCTTATCCAAGACATTTTATATACATTTTAAACAAATAGGCTTCCCCCACTAACTTTCTCAGTTTGTGCTTGTGACATACACAATGGAAAGGTGTTTTTAAATCCCTTCATGCCCTGGCAGTTCCCTACCTATCTGATCTGCCTACCCACTACTCCACCGCCTGCTGCCTCCGCTCGGCTGGCCCCGGCTTCCTGTTTGTCCCTCGTCCCCTCTGCTCCACCATTGTTGGCCGTGCTTTCAGTCACAATGCCCCGAGACTCTGGAACTCTCCCTCAATTCCTCCCCTTTGCCCCTCCCCACTTTCATATCCCATCTAAAGTCCTTCCATTTTGATCATGCTTATGGTTACCCTCGCCCTCTGTCTCGGTGTCAGACCCATTGTCAAGTGCTCCGGCACTCTACTCCATGTGAAGGGCACTATATAAATGCAAGTTGTTGTCGTCTGCCATTTGTTCGCTAATATGGGTTGAGTTCATAGCTGATTTCGGCCAGGTAGCAGTGGGGTCACTGTTATTGCCTTCAGCACATCAGTTATAAATCCACCTGGAATCCCATTTCTGGTCGCTTTCCAGAAACGTGTGCTGGAGGGAATCCTGATGTGGGTATCAGCAGAGAACAATGTGATCAGCAACTTGCATTTATATCACGTCCTTCATGCTGTACGGAAGACACTATGTGGATACTTGAATACTGATCCATATTCTGTTACACCAGATTGAAAATATTTGTGAGTCAGACTCTCAAAGCAAAATAGTGTTTTGGATTGTTCTCCTCAACAAGCAGCCTGCAGATCTTCTTCCAATTTGTCAGGTCAAAGAGTCCAGTTCTGAGTAGTACCATCAGATGTAGCTCAGGTCACAGCTACTTTGCTTGTTATCCTACCCATCTAATTGGTTCACATCACTGAATGGGAATGGAGACTACCCTCAAAGATAACACAGTACCTCTTGAGTTTACCCAGCTTTTATTGCATAACTGTCGAGCAGCAGGAAACTCTCTAGTCAGTTAGGATTAGCTTAATCCTAGCTGTTGGAGTTTTGGGTCGCACGGTTAACAGGTATTCAATGTGAAAGTTCCCAATGACTGAGCTGCCCCCCCTCCCAGTGCGGTGACCTGCAGGTCAGTGGTTAGAGCACTCGCCTCACAAGCAAGAGGACCTGAGTTTGCCCAACGTTTTGCCCTGCCCAGGAATCAAACGGCCGTGGAGTGAGTGATCAATTATTGCCCCTAGAAAAGCGATCTGCCAATCAACTAACAATCGGGTTCCTACTTACTGCTCGGTAAACAGAGGCGTGTGGATTAAGGAAACTTCCCAACATTTCACCCTGCTGTGAATCGAACCCAGATCTCTTGCTTGCGAGGCAAGTGCTCTACCCACTCCACTCCATTATTATTAAATTCTGGGGACAAGCTGGAATGGCTGGAGTACTGCAAGCCCAGCCAGTTCAGGAACCAATCTACCGCGACCACCGCAAAGGATGTTCCTTAATGTGTGTTCTCCCTCCCTTTGCTGCTCGCAGGCCTGACAGCCATGGGCTTTGTGCACATTTACATCAACATGCTCCAGTTCCAGTCTGTCCTCAACCTGCATACCAACTACTTTGTTCTGTTCATTTCTTTTGCAGGAACCCGTCAAGTCACGAGCACCACAGCTTCATTTAGAATACAGGTTTTACAAGCAACTTGGGATCACAGGTAATCTGAGATGGCATCTTATTACTGCACCTCATCTTTCAGAAGTTTTAAGGATTATTATTATTAACTTGGAAAAGCAAATAACAGGTTCTCGTGTAATGTTAGAGGTGCTAATTAGTCATCAGTGGATGGTTAATGATCAGGCAGGCAACTGGCTGCCAGCATTTGTTTTTTTTGAAAAGAAATAGAATTTGACAAATTGTTATCGGCCTGATCTCGTCCTTCAGATAAGATGTTAAATCGAGGTCCCGTTTGCCTGTTCAGGTGGATGTTAAAGATCCCATGGTCTATTGAAAAGAGAAGGGAGCTTTTCTCTTCCGGTGTCCTGGCCAGCATTTCCCCCGCCCATTTAAAATGTGTCACCCACTCCATAGCTGTTGGTAAGACATGCTGGATGCAAATTGGATTCTGCGTTCACCCACAAAATACAGTCACTCCTCTTTACAGTATCCTGTATCTATCTATCTCTGGAATTTCCATGTGTAGATGGAATTCTCAGCTTGGTTTGGATACTCTTAAGAATGGTGATGGATTTCTGCATTTGTGTCAGACACCCAGCTGACCAAGCAATATATATCCTGTTAAGCGCTTTGAGACGTCTCAGTGACATGATAAGGCACTATATCAAATGCAAAGATTATTATAGATTCATGAAGCCTGAGCTTGCTGAACCTACCTCAGCCATCATTAGCTTGTTAAAGATTGCAGTGATTGCATTTTTTCTAAACAAACCTGATTTGTAAGGTTGCTTAAACATTTCTGTTGCTCGAAAATGATCAGGGCAAACATTGCAGAGATTGATTCATTGCAAAGCTTTCTGATCAGACCACATTTAGAGTTTATAATTTTTAAAAAATGTATCTTTGATTGAGAAGTTCTCAGTATATGCTGATGGTTGATATCCAAATTATAATGAGGCCTGTTTACTGTCTTAATATTAGCATCAACAACAAATTACATTTGTAAAACGTCTTTCATGTCGGGAGAATATCCCAAGGCGCTGGACAGTCCGGGATTTAGACCCGAGCAGGGGTTGGGATCCGAGGGGGATGGAGGTTAGGACGGTGGCCGAAGGCATAGTCGAAGAGTAGGGACTTGAGACTCGCCTTAAAGGAAGCAAGGAGGGAGCAAGATGAAGGAAATGTGGGATGGCGTTCAAGAGGGTGGTGGCAGAGAAGCTGAAGGCCTGACTGCCGAGCGGGGCGGGCCAGGCGAGGGACATGGAGCAGGCCGGAGCCTACTGAGTGGAGGGAGCGGACAGGTTGTTATGGGAATAGCATATGATATAGCACTTTGTTAAAGTAATCCTCATCAGGAAAATAGTGCTGCAGGGATCTGTTGTGCATCTGTGACTTTTGTTTTAAACCTCCAATAATACATTTTAAAGACCCTTTTTAAAAATTTCTTCTTAGCTCAAAGCCAGCAGTGTAGTAATAATAAGAATGCTATTGCATTTGCCTTTCAAGTCGGGGAGGTACCCTACTTGTGCCGTTCAGGGCATAATGTCAGGTGCAGTGACTGTTTTTTCGGGAAATCAGTAGCCAGGTTGTGTATAAAGTCCCGCAAACAGAGCTCATACTTCTTTTTAATGTTTTTTTAAAATTGCTGTGTGTGTTTATATGCATGTATGCACTTGTTTGGGTATGTACACGTACGTACGTACATACATGCATTAATACCTACATGCATGCATGCGTACGTACGTGCATTCATACATGCGTACGTACGTGCATTCATACATGCGTACGTACGTGCATTCATACACGCGTACGTACGTGCATTCATACGTGCCTTAATACCTACATGTATTACAAATGCTGTTGTGTGTGGTGTCTGTATATGTCCATGTAAATAATCTGCAACTTCCATGGATAAATATCTAGAAATATTTTTGAATTAATTAATTCACTGCCTGAAACCTGTGACCAAACACAAGCTGTGCTATATTTGAAGTCTATAATGCACTATTTCCTCGTAAGTCTATTTGTCGCCTTTTGGAAATATTCTATTGTAGACAATCATCTAATCATTGATTAGACCCAAGTGCATAAACATCACAACTCGGTATGGTATTAAGTAAATGGACTTTGATTTACATTGAGATGAAAGTTGTGGGTGAGTTTCCTACCTGTGCTAGTTTAGTAAGCTGCTGGAACATTATGGGCTACCTCCCTATTCATTGCATTTTCTTTAACTTGGCTTTAGAGTAAACTGACAGGTTGTCATCTGTTAGGGTTCTAAATTACCCAATTTGAGCTCTTGTGGAAACTGACGACCTTCTATTATAATAATAATCATTGCATTTGATACAGTGCCTCACAGGATACACTGTAAAGTGAATTGACTGTATATTGTGTGGGCGAAACGTGACTGCCAATTGCGCACAGCAGCGTCCCACAAACAGACGTAGATTGAGTGATCAAATTATTATTTATTTTTAATATATTTTTTAAGGGATTAATATTCCTGGAAAAGCGGTCCACCAATCGACTAACAATCAAGTTCCTACTTGCTGCTAGGTAAACAGGCATGTGGAGTAAGGAAACTTGCCCAACACTTCGCCCTGCCCGGGAATCAAACCCAGGTCCTTTCAAATTACATTTGTTTTTCGCTTTAGAGGCGAGTGCTCTAACCATTGAGCTTCAGGGCTCCACCTTCCATAAAGGGCCTTGAAGTGTTGATTTGAACTCTCTATTCTGTAAAGCAGAGAGAGAAAGTAACTAGGTTATTGATTACATCATTTTGGTTTTAACCTCTTCAGAGATCTTTCTTTTTGTGACTTTGAAGACCAACAGTTTGTATTTATTCAGCACCTTTCTTAAAGGAGAATGTCTCTGAGTTCTGTACGAAGACAAAGTGGGCGTTTTTGCTCCCATAGAGCTGGGGGGTTGTAAGAGGAGGTGGCAGATAGTCTGGTTGAAAGTTGAAGAGAGAACGTTTAGGAAGGTTCTGAAAGCAGAGAAGGGGAGAGGCAGGGAGAGGGATTTTAGAAGACAGTGCCAGAGAACGGGGACACAGTGGCTGCCAGCTTGGCTGCTGGGAGCGGGCGGAGCAGGAAGTAGTTGGCACAGTGAAGGGAGTGGCCACAGCTGCGGCAGGTTTTTGTGTTTGCACCTGGATTGAACCCGGACCTGGGGAAGATAACCGTGGCTCGTGTTACCCACTCGGTAAAGAATGGCAGTAAGTCATTGAAGAAAGTTTTAAGGATCCGGGTTCAATCCTGGTTTGGACTAGAGAATCCTGCTACAGCTGGCGCAGTGCCAAGCCAGTGGAACAAATAGTGCCTCCACTTGCAGCAAACCTGCACATTAAATTGTTAGTAAATGTTCGTTCTCTGCTTTCAGAGTTGGAAACATTGGAGTTTTTCACTTTGAAGGGAAGATGACGCAGCTGAAATGTACCCTTTAATGAAATGAATTCCTTATGAGTAACGTATCAGGTTACAAATATTGAACACCTGTGTCAATTAGAGTCTAGAGTATGTGAAGGATGTTTTAACATTAAAATTAAGTGCGTCAGCTTGGCTTAGCTGGTATCACTCTCGCCTCACGTCAGGACTTGAACTTGCACTCCGGTACAGTGCTCACGATTCCAACATTCCGTTGCCAAACACTTCACCTTGGAGTCAGTTTCACCCACAAAACATACAATCAATTCACTTAACAGCATATTCTGTGAACTTCTTTGAGACGTTGGGAGGATGCGATAAGGCGCTATATCAAATGATAGGATTATTATTCATAATATATCAGAATACACCGACAGTTCAGAGCCTTGGGACGTCCTCCTGACGTGAAAAGCGCTTTACAAATGTAATTTTGTTGTTGTTGTACACTAGGATTTGAACCTGCAACTTTTTGATGGGTATAGCCTAGTGCTGCACTGGGGGGGGTGTCATTATCCATTGGGTCATCAGGGGAAGCTCTTGCAAAGACATTTTGCACAGTTATTGGAAGCAATAGATTTTGATGTCAACTGTCAGTTTCGTCCAACTCACAGTAATCTCACCTCTGTGTCAAGGTTGTGGCTTCAAGCCTCAAACTGGGACTTTCAACTCATTGTCTACAAAATACACAGGCACTTTCCTGCAGTATAGCCAGCCTGTGAAGCACTTGTGAGATTTCCTCCTGGCGTGAAAGGTGCTGTATCAAATGCAAGGATAATTAGTATTTCATTGAGAAATTCAGCGTGAGGAATAATAATAAATAATAATAATCCTTGCATTCGTAATAGCGCCTTATATTGTCTTTGAGACGTCTCAAAGCGCTTAACAGAATATTACTATAAAGTGAGTTGACTGTATATTTTGTGGGCAAAATGTGACAGCCAATTGCACAGCAGTGTCCCCCAAATAGTTATGGATTGAGTGACCAAATTTTTTTTAATGATTTATGTACATTCTCTAAACCCTGGGATAACATTGTGGCTTCTTTATACTATTCAACAGCTAGAACAATATTCAAAAATCTGTTATCATCTGTGTGAAATGAAATAAACTATGCTGAGAATTAATAGCGGCTGAAATTGCATGTAACAAATGATTATAGTGCAATTGATGTCTTCACTTAATTAAAGATAATTATTCTTTAAATTTATTTGCTTTATAATATTCCCCCCGGGTTTGGGTGTCTAATTGGTTGGCTGCTGTCATGCATAGCTCTAGGATAGAAATTCAGTACAAAGTGCTTTATTACTGACACTCAAAATCCTTTGGATTATAAACCATAAATAATCCTGCAATGGAGCGGATGAGGTGCTATTAACCAGTGTAATTTTATACCAGCATTCTGAGCTGTAGCTGTTGCTCTATTCTGGTTTACATTCATTCAGTAGGTCAGCTTCCCGACTTAAGCTAAACATAGTTTCAGTGCAAGTGCTGTCACTTTTAAATTGCTCATGTTCTTTTTGGAAGTGTCTGGAGTCCTTTATATGATCAATCCTTATTTATTGGTTCTTGTATTATTAAGGGATTTTCAAACTTGTGCAAACTTCAATTGAAAGTACGACATTCCCAAACCTACATACTTGATAGGTAGCAGTTTTGAAATTTCTTGTCTATTGTGATTATAGAGTAAGGAATTGGACTTGATCTTGAAGAGCTTCATGATGTTGAATTGTCAGAGGTGCCGTCCTTCAGATGAGATGTTAACCGAGGTCCTGTCTGCCTGTGCAGGTGGATGTTAAAGATCCAATGGGACTGCTCGAAAAGACCAGGGAGTTTCTTCTGATGTCCTGACCAATAATCCTTCTAATAAAATTGGTCATTCACTCCATGGCTGTTTGTGGAACTTTGCTGCTGCATTTACCTACAAAACACACAGTCACTGCACTTTATAGTATATCCTGTGAAGTGCTTTGGGATGTCCAGGTGTGATAAGGCACAAAACCAAATGTAAGGATTATTATCTTGCTAACTTGTGGTTCCTCTTATAGAATCATAGAATATCACAACACAGAAGGAAGCCATTCGGCCCATCGTGCCTGTGCCGGCTCTTTAGAAGAGCTACCCAATCAGTCCCACTCCCTCGCTCTTTCCCCGTATCCTTGCAAATTTTTCCTTTTCAAGTACTTATCCAATTTCCTTTTGAAAGTTGTTATTGAATCTGTTTCCAGCCTTTCAGCCAGTGCCTTTCATTCCGGACCCTAACAACTCTGTGCAAAAAAAAAATATTTTATCTTATGAAGGTTCCTCCATTTTCTACTTCTGACATCTGATCGCATTTCTGGGGATAATAATCACTTCAAAAAAAATAATGATTTGATCACTCAATCCACGACTGTTCGTGGGACGCTAATGTGTGCAATTGGCTGCCACGTTTCACCCACAAAATATACAGTTAGTTCACTTCACAGTATATTCTGTGAAACGCTTTGAGATGTCTCGATGATGTGATGAGGCGTTGTATCAATCCAAGGATCATTATTGTTATATTACTAGCTGTACGTACCCATTACAGCTTTGCTTGCAACCAAAGGATCCAATATGGAATGGAGATTGACACACAAACAGACACTTCACCTTTATACTCAGCTGGGAAGAATCCTGTTTGAGGACTCAGCACTTTAAAAATGTAAATTTGTTGCTGCTGCGGTGCAGCTTCGTCTGTGTTCTTTATTTTGTTCCCGCCGCTCGGCTACGTGCGTGCGCTGTTACGTAGGATGCCACAGTGCCACGGTCAGCTGGCCTGGCCACCAGGTGTAACCGCAGCAAAAAACGCAAAACCAAAATACATTTTAGGTCATAACTCATGAACGTTAGGAAATACCCAAAAATAAATATGCCTGTGTCACTCCCAGATGTACAACCTTTCCGACGAGGTATAAATGCCTCTACGTCAATCGTTTATTGAGATCCTTCTTGAAGCGCAGACAGACATTGTCGTTTTATTAGTAGAGATAGAAGATAGATAGAAGGTAGGATCAATGCTGTCAGAAGGATGGTGTGCTTGTGGTTGGCATTAATCCTCTGTGTTTGGTTTCCTTTCCCAGCTGATGGAGTTGCTCAGGTTTACTACTTTGGACCATGTGGTAAATATAATGCAATGGTGATGGAGCTCCTAGGACCAAGCTTGGAGGATCTCTTTGATCTGTGTGACCGGAACTTCACGCTGAAGACCGTGCTAATGATTGCCATTCAATTGGTGAGTGATGTCCCTGAAGTCAGGGGCATGGCCCTACTTTGAGAGACGCTGATCAATGTCTGTAACCTCTGTGCATGTCGAGCATTTGTACAAGCCTTCACCTTCCCACGTTGTAGAGAATCCTACTCCTTTTTAACCATGCAACACAGAGTGAGTGAAAGCACTCATTGCCTTGCATACTTTTGGTTAACCCTCATGCTTGAGGTGTATTCTTTTCACTCAAAGGGTGTAGAAATCTGGAATTCTCTCCCCCAAAAGGCAGTGGATGCTGGATCCATCCACACCTTCAAGAGTGAGGTTGATAGATTTTTGGTAGGTCAGGGGATCAAGGGATATGGGGATAAAGCGGAAATTGAAAGGATTAGTTGAGGTACAGATCAGCCATGATCTAATTAAATGGCAGAACAGGCTCAAAGGGCTGAATGACCTCTTCCTGTTCATACGTTCCTATTTGTGCCCTCCCGTCCGGGAATACAAAATTGTCACTTCAGTAACCAACTGTTGTCAAAGTACTGTTCACAGAGTTCTGTTACTGACAAGATTTTTTTCTGCAGTGCTCTGACCAACAACTGAAATGATCATTGTGAATAAGGCATGCCACAGCAGGCCATTCATTTGTCATTACCATGTAACTGTAATGTTGCTTAACTCTTTCCTACGCTTGTCTGTGGCCATCGTAAGGCGCATATCCATTGATGTATGCGATCGATACGCTGAACTGATATAGCCAGTATCTTACAGAAAAGGCTAATTTCTGATGCTTCAATTACTAAAATTCTGTGGGTGGGTGTACTGCTGAATGTGTGGAGGTCTGTCTCAGGCAAATTATTGAAAAAGTGTGAGTAAATAAACCTCTCCTTTTATTCCTGGATTGAGTTAGCAACTCAAATCAATACCGTTCTCATATAAAGCAGTTGGCAACGAGCAGAATCAAAGCAGTTTAATTATAGATTCCTGCCAACCTTTTTCATTTTAATTTTGTATATAATGCTGGAAACTGGAGGAAAATTTACTGTCCCTCCTAAGATATGTTTAGTTTTCATGGCCTGAACTGCAATATTGAGTAACCTCCCTCAAGCCTCCATGCAACAAAACAAAGAAAAAAAACCTCCACCTTTTTATTTGCTCTTTGTTCTATCTCTCTCGCTCTCTCTTCAATGTCTCTTTGGACCATGTATGATTTCCTGGCCAAGAGCGTGGGCAAGCAGTCTGTTCCTAGATCTCTCTGCCAATGTTATTTTTACATCAGATTCAATAAGGTGTAGGTGACTGGCCAATGTGTGACAGCCCACCCCCTCACCACCACCTCCAACTTGTTTTCTCCTTGAGTGAGATTTAATATTCAGGGTAATAATCTCCCTGGGCATCGCGGAACCTTAGGTAAATTTCCTTACTCTGCACGCCGCTGTTTACCTGGCAGTAAATAGGGGCCCGTTTTTTTATTCAATTGGCGGATCGCTTTCCGGGGGTAATAATCCCTTAAAAAATAATAATAATTTGGTTACTCAATCCACATCTGTTCATGGGACACTGCTGTGCAATTGGCTGCCGCTTTTCACCCACAAAATATACAGTCAATTCATTTTATAATATATCTACGAAGCTTTGAGACTTCTCAATGACGCTGTATCAAATGCGAGGATCATCATTATTATAGGTTGTCTGGCCTCCATATATTGGCATGTCTGAAGTAAGGGATGTGTCCATTGAGCCCCTCTGACCATGTTTGTTTATTATCACTATGCGTCTGATGCTCCCATTCAGTTTGTTTGTTGCCTTTCCTGTGTTTCCTCGTGCTACTTAACAATTTTCTGTGTTTGGTTGCTTGTGGAAAAAGGGAGCGAAGAATAAAAGTGGAATTCCTTGTTTAAGGTCTTTAATCTTCTCCTTCAGCTTAACCGAATGGAGTACGTCCACTCAAAGAGTTTAATCTACAGAGACGTCAAGCCAGAAAACTTTTTGATTGGAAAGCAAGGCAGTAAAAAGGAACACATAATCCATATAATAGACTTTGGTTTGGCGAAGGAGTACATTGATTCAGAAACCAAAAAGCACATCCCTTACAGGGAGCACAAGAGCTTAACTGGGACCGCAAGATACATGTCCATCAACACGCACCTGGGCAAAGGTCTGTCAAATTACATAACTTTATGTCGCAATGTGCTTTGTTTTGAAATTTCCTTCTAGTACATTATACTGTCAACAACAATAACAACAACGTGCATTTATATAGCTCCCCTCACGCAGGATATCATTCCCAGATAGTGGTGGAACACCGCTCCGAGGGGAGGGGTAGGTGAATGTAGGCATGGTTTAAGAGGAAGGTCATGAGGGGCGACCTGAGGGTGGGGGAGGAAGGGGCAAGGCGTAGGGGGTGAAGAAGTTTCAGAGTTTCAGGGCATAGTGGCTGAAAGCGCAGCCACCAGTGGTGGAGGGCACGAGGGACATGCAGAAGGCCGGAGCCAGTCGAGCTCTTAGGAAAGGCTTTGTCTGTTTAATTTATGATCTTAACAAATGCCTTTTAAGCAGATAATGAGAGCAGGAGGAAGAGTAGGAATTGACAGTTTAGACAGTCGACAACTCTTCTCTCTGGTTACAAGGGACGGTGTCTTAAAATTAGACTTGAGTAAAACTGAGATCAGGAAGTGTTTATTCACAAACAATAGTTGAGAAGGTATGATGGCTCTTCCCCAGAAAGCGCTCCGGGACTCCCTAACCCTAACCCTAACCCACGTGAAGGGCAATGTATAAATGCAAGTTGTTGTTGAAAGCTGTAGCAGCAGAATCAAGGGCGATATACAGATACATGGCTAGTAGCAATGTTGTACAATGTGCTGTTCTAGTAGATTCCACAAGAAATGGATAGATATTTGGGTAGTAGATGTATTAAGCTATATCCAGATCATCCAAAATTCTGCAGCTCGTGTTCTCTCGCGCACCAGGCTCCGTGATCCCATCAGTCTCACCCTCGCCCGACTCCACCGGCTCCGCATCCCCCAGAGGATCGAGTTCAAGATCCTCGTCCTCACCTTTAAGTCCATCCATGGCCTTGCCCCCTCCTACCTCTCTGACCTGCTGACTCTCTACCAACCTACCCGCTCCCTCGGCTCATCAGGCTCCGGTCTGCTCCATGTCTCCCGCCCGACCCGCCCTACCATCGGTGGCCAGGCTTTCAGCCTCTCTGCCCCCACACTCTGGAACTCCATCCCATAGTCCCTTCGCCTCGCTTCCTCCCTTGCCTCTTTCAAGGCCGGTCTCAAGACCCCTCTCTTCGACCGTGCCTTTAGTCTCCCTCCCACCTCTCGGCCTTCCCTCACCCCTACACCACCCATCCCCCATGCTCGGGCCCCGACACGTGACTGTTCAGTGCTTTGGGACATCCTCCCGACGTGAAAGGTGCTCTATAAATGTAATTTTGTTGTTGTTGTTGTATGGCATAAGGGCGGGACATTGATTGTAAAAAGATGTGCCAAGATCTAATTAAACTAGCGGAACAGGCTTGGTGGGCTGAATAGCCTCCTCCCGTTGCTATTTTCCTATTTTAACTATTTTTAAGTACAGATGAAAAATCTGCTTCTTGCTTGGTTCAATTGATTTATATTTTGAGCATATACTTTATCATCAGTAACAATTGTTTGCGATTTTAAGAAATATATTACATTTCGATCCATTCAATTTACAGAGATAATAATAATAAGCCTTACATTTGATATAGTGCCTTATCACGGCTTCGAGACGTCTTAATAATTTAATAATAAATGGACTTTCAGAGATGAAACGCGGAGAATATTTTTATCAATTTGTAAAACCAATCTAACTAATGCAGGAGTAGCAGTTCACCCTTGAGCAACCCAGGCCGTCACTAAACATTGTGGCCATGCTGTCAGCTTCCAGTGGTGAAGATTAGGGTGGATCACCGCCCTTTCCAGCTCTCGTCATTCGCAACATGGAAACCATCCTCACACACCAAGGTCTCACCCAACCATTCTCACAGGCACTTTATAGAGTGCACGGGTGATAAAATAGTCAAAATGAACTTTTGAGCCATTATTCTCTACCTTATATGCACAGCAGAGAGTTAGGGAGTCACGTGAGCTGTCAGTTAGGGTCTGGTTGTTTTTCAGCAAAGATCCACAAGGAGGGTAGGAGGGTGATTGAAGGCACGGTTCAAGAGGAGGGTCTTGAGATGGATTTTGAAGGAGCCAAGGGAAGGGACGAGTTGGAGGGACTGTAGGATGGATTTCCAGAGGGTGGGGGTAGAGAGGCTGAAGGCCCACCCGCCGATGGTGGGGTGGGGAAGGCGGGGGATGTGAAGCAGGCCCCTGCTCATTGAGCGGAGAGTTGGTAGGGGAAAATATTACTAAGCACAGCTCAGCCCGACCCGTTGCTTTAAATTCAGTTATTGAAACTGTTGATTTTAGCTGCGATTGTCAGGCATGTACTTTACTGGATGGATTTTGACACTGCTTTACAGTCACCTTACTTGGAAATTGCAGCTTCAGATATGCAGTTATATGTGTTCTTGTTTGTTCCTAGAGCAAAGCCGGAGGGACGACTTGGAGGCTTTAGGACACATGTTTATGTATTTTCTACGTGGCAGTCTCCCCTGGCAGGGACTAAAGGTAAGTTTCAGGTACTTTTTCGTGATTTCAGTTGGTGCTCAATGAGCAAGTATCAAAAAACATGTGGTACCTTGGGAACACTCAGCAGGTCAGGCAGCATCTATGGAGAGAGGAAAGTGACCAAAGGTCATTGAAACATTAACTCACTTTCCTGTCTTCATAGATGCTGCCTGACCTGCTGAGTGTTCCCTGCGACTTCTGTTTTTATTTCAGATTTCCAGCATCCGTAGTATTTAACCTTTTATAGTAATAATACCTTTAACTGATCTTTATGGCATACGTTTTATATACTAATGAGCAATTATAATTCCTAATCTGATAAGAGGGACTTTCTTTGATTTCTTTCCTTTAAAAGTAACCGTGAATTTATTCTAGATATATAGCCACTTTGCCTTGTGAAGAGATGAGATTTGTGTGTGTAATTTAATACAACCGGTTTGAAATCTCTCCCTGGTGTTCCATTGTTCTGTACATCAATAGGGCCACAGGAGAGTAAGTAAGAGGTGAATTCAATGAAGGGATTTAAACTGTTCTAAGATTTAAAAAAAAAATGTTGGTCAGCCTGGTGTCTGACATGTGAGGAAACCCATCACCGTGCTTAAGAGTCTCTAATCCAAGCTGAGATTTCCACGCATCCCATCTACACGTGGTAATCCCAAAGATAGATTGTTGGAATGGAATATGCTCTCTCTCCCTCCCTGGAGGGACACATCCCGCTTACCTAATTCCGGAGAGTATTACAACAAGAAGATTACATTTGTATAGCGCCTTTCATGTCGGGAGGCCGTCCCAATTATTAGGTTCAGGTTGGCAAGAGCCAAGATTTGGGGACCCCAGTGTAACTGCCGGAGTCTAACCAGCTAAAACTGCACAACTTGCCATTGATATTGCTGTTCATCAAGCTTTCCCACTGCTTGTCCAGCTAGGGCCGCTCTACCCATTAGTGCTTTGGATGCAGGGTTAACAGGAGCTGAGGGGGAGGATTCCCTACCCCAGTGACTGGTCTGCCCTTCCAGGTCCTGCTGATGAGCCGGGCCGGGCTGTGCTGTCATCAACAGTGCCCTGGAATACTGAGAACCCACCTGGCTCAGGAACCGGATTAGAAACCGTGACAGAGGACTGGCTCAATTATGATATTCCATTGCCAGACATGTCACCTAAATTGAAGATGGAGCAGATAATCTCAACTCAGAAATGACTTTACAGCTTTGTAATCAATCACTGGTGTCTACTATTTGTTACATATGGTTTTATATATAATATATGTATGTGGAGTCCTGTAGCTCAGTGGTCAGAGCACTCGCTTTGCAAGCGAAAGACCTGAGTTCAATTCCAGGCAGAAGGCGAAACCTTGGGCAAGTTTCCAAACTCCACACAGAGCCTAATAATAATCTCTCCAAAACCAATAATAAATTGGTCATTTTCAATCTACGACTGTTTGTGGGACATTGCTGTGCGCAATTGGCTGCCGCGTTCACCCACTAATATACAGTCAATTCACTTTACAGTGTGTTCTGTGAAGCGCTTTGGGACGACATGAAAAGCGCTATATCAAATGCAAGGATTAAAGGATTAATTAATATGTGTGTGTGTGTCTCTCTAGCCAATTGGAGGGGTGGGAGAGAAAAACTGAAGTGCTCATCAAACACTGCAAGTCTGGAGTCACGGTGGGGCACAGAGTGAGAAACAGGCCGCATGGCTCAACCAGTCTGTGCCATTACTCATAGCCCACACAAGCCCCTATTCCTCCATATTACACAATGTTTTGAAACGCGCTATAAAATGTTCCACACACATTCACGGTTGCTGATGACACGGAGGAGAGGTTTTGTGAAGTTTTGCTTTTACGCTCATCCCAAACGGGCCAGCAGAAACAAACTGCTCTCAGGAGGTTTGAGAGACCTGTCGATTATCTGGAGGATTATCTTCAGTAGGTCAAGTTCAAGCCTTGCTCATCCATACTGATTTAAGGCGATGAAGGTATCTGCATGTTTAGTGGTTAATTCAGGTTGCAGCGGTTATTTTTGAATTGTAAACCTATTCACTGTATCAATGGTGACGGGAAACTCAATGATCATGTTTTCAATTGTTTGTGCTATGATTCAGCTTCCCCACAGCAGCCATTCTCTCAGCTTCTCTTTTGACTGCAGTGCCTGCGAGTTTTGAACCTCAAACCATTACATTGCTGGTTAGCGTATTGGTGGGCTGAGTGATCTCCCTCTCGTCTCGTATGATTTAATTGTAATGTATTTCTGGAGAGTCGTGACAACACTGAGTGATGTTCTGTTCTGTACCATGGAGTAAGAATAGAGACAAAAGTGAGTGCAGTATCGCTTAGTCATCAATCTGAACCATGTGGGAGGTCCTGAGCACACAGGCTACAGAATCTCCCACAAGGGGTAGAGAAAATTGTAAGAGGAAAAGGTGCTGCTTGAGTGGTCCTGGCCAGCCATGTACTCAGATCGGGAACTCTTTATCCCGCCCTCCAAATTTGGAACTCTCTCCATCAAAAGGCTGTGGATGTTTCACATTTTCGAGGCTGAGGCGGGTAGATTTCTGTTAGGTTGGGTATCAAGGGATTCGGGGCAAGGCCGGGTAATTGGAGTTGAATACAGATTCAGCCATCATCTTATAGAATAGTGGCACAGGCTCGAGGGGCTGAATGGCCTCCTTCTGTTCCTATGTTTCTAAGTACCAACACCGCAAAAGGAAGTGTTAGACTGGGCACAAGACAGCTGATTATACTAGAGATAAAGATAATCTCCTAAAAAATGTCTTCAATAAAATTCATATAATATGCATTTCTCTTTGGTGCACAAATGTATATGTTGTAAAAGTGCTGCTAACCAGTGAATTAATGGAGTCTGATCTTGGCTGTGTCCTTGTCCTTGTTTGCAGGCAGAGACACTGAAAGAACGCTACCAGAAAATTGGGGATACAAAACGAAATACTCCGATCGAGGTTCTCTGTGAGAGCTTTCCAGGTGAGGCGTGCAGGATTGCGGACCTTTTACTCAGAGCGTTCAGGCAGGGTGGCCACGGTCATGTTAGCAAATCGGCAGCTTGATCACACTGTATTACAGTTCTATGGTGTCACAGAGCTTGGTATTTAAACCCGATCCCCCAGTCACCAGAGCCGGGGGTTTTGAGTCAGGAGGACAAAACCAGTATCCGCTTAATAATAATAATAATAATCCTTGCATTTGATGTAGCGCTTTTTACGTCGGGAGGACGTCCCAAAGCGCTTCACAGAACACACTGTAAAGTGAATTGACTGTATATTTGTGGGCGAACGCGGCAGCCAATTGCGCACAGCAATGTCCCACAAACAGTCATGGATTGAAAATGACCAATTTATTATTGTTTTTGGTTTTGGAGGGAATATTATTAGGCTCTGTGTGGAGTAAGGAAACTTGCCCAAGGTTTCGCCCTCTGCCTGGAATTAAACTCAGGTCTCTCGCTTGCAAAGCGAGTGCTCAACCACTGAGCTACAGGACTCCACAGTCCTGTAGCTTATATTAACAACAGCAAATTACATTAACAAATTAAAATACGCACTACTCAAAATACATTTAACATATGTATTGGACATAAGCTTACAATTTGACGACACCCCAAAGCTATAAATTAAGTCAGAGTTGGGTAGGCAAGGTGACCAGTGTCTTGTTAGAAGTCCCTCCAATGTCCAACGGCTCCTGTCTGCTCAAACACCTAGTGTTTATACTCCATGCTTTAACACTTGCGAAACCATGTTCTCACAGACAGTGAGTCCCTATGCAAATTTCAGACAAATCAACTGAGTTCTTACAAATGCAATTAACTAAAACAGTGCAAACAAGTTAACAACATTCCTACCAATTGAGATAACAGACTTTTCTTACCACCTTTGTGGCTCTTGATAACTGAAACAATGAGGCAAACAGGAGGGCAATAGTGAACATAAGAATTAGGAGCAGGAGTAGGCCATTCGGCCCCTCGAGCTGCCCCGCCATTCGATAAGGTCATGGCTGATCTTCAGACCTAACTCTAATTACCTGCCCTATCCCCATATCCCCCAATCCCTCTGTTTTTTAAAAATCTATCAGTCTCAGCCTTGAAGATGTTCAAGGACTGACATCTACAGCCTTCTGGGGGAGTGAATTCACTCACTACCCTCTGAGTGAAGAAATGTTTCCTCAACTCTGTTCTAAAAGGCTGACCCTTAATTTTAAGACCCCTGGTTATAGATTCTCATACCAGGGGAAACAGACCTTCAGTGTTTACTTTATCAGCCCTTTAAGAATCTTATATGTTTCAATAAGATCCCCCCTAATTCTTCTGTACTCTGGAGAATACAGCCCTAGTTTATTCAGCCTATCCTCATGGGTCAGTCCCCTCATCCCAGGAACTAACCGAGTGAATCTACGCTGCACCCCCTCTAGGGCAAGTATGTCCTTTTTTTAAATAACGATACCAAAACTGGTGCGGTCTCACCAAGGCCCTATACAGTTGCAGCAATATTTCCCTACTCTTGTACTCTAAACCTTTTGCAATGAACGCTAACATGCCATTTGCCTTCTTAGTTGCTGCTGCACCTGCAAACTAACTTTTTGAGACTGGTGTACAAGGACACCCAAATCCCTCTGAACACTAACACTATCTAATCTCTCCCCCTCTAGAAAATAATCTGTTTTTTGATTTTTTCTACCTCGGTGAATAACTTCACACTTCCCCACATTAAATTCCATCTGCCACCTACTCGCCCACTCCCCAAGCCTATCTATATCCCGTTGCAATCTTTTTGCATCATCCTCAGAGCTTACTCTCCCACCGAGTTTAGTGTCATCCGCAAATTTAGATACGTTACATTCAATGACCGCGTCGAGATCGAGAAATTGTAAATAGCTGAGGCCCAACACTGATCCTTGTGGCACTCCACTAGTCACATCTCCTGCCAATTCGAGAATGGCACGTTTATCCCTACTCTCTGTTTTCTACCCGTTAGCCACTCTTCAATCCGTGCTAATATGTTCCCATTAATCCTGTGGGCCTTGTGTAATAGCCTTTTGTGCAGTCCTGTAGCTCAGTGGTTAGAGCACTCGCTTTGCAAGTGAGAGACCTGAGTTCAATTCCAGGCAGAGGGCGAAACCTTGGGCAAGTTTCCTTACTCCACACAGAGCCTAATAATAATCCCTCCAAAACAAAAAAACAATAATAAATTGGTCATTTTCAATCTACGACTGTTTGTGGGACATTGCTGTGCGCAATTGGCTGCCGCGTTCGCCCACAAATATACAGTCAATTCACTTTACAGTGTGTTCTGTGAAGCGCTTTGGGACGTCCTCCCGACGTGAAAAGCGCTATATCAAATGCAAGGATTATTATGATTATTATTTTGTGTGGCACTTTGTCAAATGCCTTCTTAAAATCTAAATATGCTACATCTACTGGTTCCCCCCTATCTAACCTGCAGATACATCTTCAAAAAATTCTAAAAGATTAGTGAAGCGTGACTTCCCTTTTGTAAAGCCATGTTGACTGCCTAATCTTGTTATGGTCTTCCAGGAATCCCATAACGACATCCTTAATTAAGGACTCAAGAATTTTCCCTAACACTGATGTCAGACTAACTGGTCTATAGTTCCCCCTCTTTTCTCTCCCACCCTTCTTAAATGGTGGTGTTACGTTTGCAATCTTCCAATCAATGGGAACCATTCCAGAATCCAGAGAATTTTGGAAGATCAAACACAAGCCATCCACTATCTCAGTAGCCACCTCTTTTAAAACCCTCGGATGTAGGCCATCAGGTCCAGGGGATTTATCAGTTTTAAGACCTGACAATTTACCTAAAAACATTTCTTTACTAATATTAATTCCCCCAAGTTGCTCGCTAACATTGTCTTCTTGGTTCCCCTCTATTCTTGGTAGGTTTTCCGTGTCTTCTAAGGTGAAGACAGTAGCAAAGTACTTGTTTAAAGACTCTGCCATGTCTTTGTCTTTGTCCCCTACTATAATTCCACCCGTCTCTGCCTCTAACAGACCCACATTTACCTTTGACAGTCTCTTCCTCTTTATATATTTATAAAACTCTTGCAGTCTGTCTTTATGACTCGTGCAGTCTATCTTATGAATCTTCATTCAAATGAGTTTGAATGAACTTGACCATGACGTCACCACAGTCACAGCAGAGACTATTTGGATAGGGTATAGGTGATCTTGGATGCGCTTTTTTTTTCCTCTGTAAAGTTCCTATTCCATAAACGGAAGCTGTTGTTTTAAATGGGAACATGTTAGTATTACTCTGCTCAGTAAACTTCCTGTTCTTCCCTGAGATGAGCATTTTTTTGTCCACCAGTTTTGAATTCACATCAATCTTTTGACCAAAAGAATCCGTTCATTTCAAACTGGATCAAGTTGCATAGGACAGTGAAATAAACCATACCTTGCTGTCAATAGATAAACTCTGCAATCTTACCACATAACAAATAAAGTAACTTTATGTCACAAAATTTATGCAGTTGAGTCATGTTATAATAATAAAAATCCTTACATTCGATCTAGTGCCTTATCACGTCATCTCACAGAATATCTTGTAAAGTGGATTGACTGTATATTTTGTGGGCGAAACACGGCAGCTAATTGAACACAGCAGTGTCCCACAAACAGTTGTGGAATGAATAACCAAATTAAAAAAAATTCCTCCCGAATCATAAGAATGAGATCGGCCAATCTTTTTTAAACACAATGTTGATGTTAAAAGAAAAGTTAACTCAGCAATTAGGGTCACTTGGAAGAGAACTTTCCCATGAACCCTATTGATGCCCAGTCGAGCAGGATTGGGTACATTTAGTAATGATCTGAATGGAGACCTTAACATTATGCTCAAGGGGAGTCACCATTATATTACAGTATCTGCTTCCCTGTTATAGTGCCTGCTGGCATCAGTGCACAATGGGGCGAAGCTGGAGGTCTTTGCATGAATGACCACACAGGCCTGTTGACTCCTGATAAGAGCGATAATTTAGTGCTTGAAAAGAGCTGATAATATCTCTTGCATCACAGAAATGTGACCGTGGACCCAGAAATTGACCTGCCAATTTCTTTTTGTTTTACTTTCACAATGTACCTTTTTCTGTGTTGACACTGACGGCATTTATCCAGCAAACCTGTGTATGATTACCTTCTCTGGAATATCTCATTACCGATGGAAATTTTAGCGTCAATATGCATTTGTCCTGCTGTTCTCCTACGCTTTGTGGTTGGGCCACATCTCAAGAATCAGCCCGAGAGAATTCAGCACCAAAATTGCACAGCAACCAATTTCCTCCCTTGACTCTGATTTAGACCGCATATACAGTACCACCCAACTTGGTCCATCAGAAACTGTCAAACAGAACAACAGTGGATTGTATGTGTTAAGAGGCACAGCCATGGCATCTCTTTTCCACGATGGATTGGAGTTACTGCATTCAGTTATAATCTGAAAATTACATGCTGTCTCGGTAGAGAGAATTTCTGTGTACTCTCAATCTCAGTATGACCTAAAATCCACTTTTTTAGGACTGAATTTGTGAATTTTTTTTAAGACTGTTTGTGGACACTGCTGTGCGCAATTGGCTGCTGGATTTTGCCTACAAAATACATAATCAATTTACAGTGAACATTTCTGTGAAACTAAATGAGATGTCTCAAAATGTGATAAGGTGCTATATTAAATACAAGAATTATTATTAAGAATTATGATGTGTAACTATGTACAGGACTGTGTTCTGTGCCTACATTATCACCTTGTTTCCTTTGTGGATGGAGGGGACATTAGAATGCCCTCCACAAACATCACCACTGTGTATTAATATAATGGCTTTTACATTGGCAAACAGCTTCACAGAGACTGAGTGGGAGCCCAAGCTGGGTGGGAGATCAGGGGTAGAAAGAAGATGATCAAAGGCACAGATAGGTTTTTAGAAATGTTTTGGAAACAGGGAGGGAGAGTTGTAGGTAGATGTATTTAGGAGAGAGTGGGGGTGAGATGGCTGCATATGGGGGTGGGTTGGGATCAGGGAGGGTGGAAGGAGATAGTGGCCAAAGTGGTCAAAGAGGAGAGCCTTGAAGCGTGCCCTGAAGGAGGCAAGGGAGGAAGCGAAGGAAATGTGGGATGGAGTTCCAGTGGGTGGGGGCAGAGAGGCTGAAAGTTCGACCACTGATGTTGGAGTGGGCCAAGTGGGGGACATGGAACAGGCCAGAGCCTGCTGAGCAGAGGGAGCAGACAGGTTGATAAGGGGTTAGCAGATCAGGGAGGTAGGAGGGGGCAAGGCCATGAAGGGCCTTGAAGGTAAGGACGAGGATTTTGAACTTGATCCTCTGAGGGATGGGAAGCCAGTGCAGCCAGGCGAGGGTGGTCATGTGGCCAATGCAGCCACAATGATGGGGACGCTGAGCTTGTGGAGTGTGGGACAAGGTTGGATACAGGCTATGGAGCTCAGTGTAGTCTAATGGTTAAGCCTGGAAAGCCGGCAAGGTGGACATTGGAGTAATGACGTCTGGAGATGTGACCGTGTGGAATAGGGTTTGGGCTGGATAGAGGTTGAGGTAGGGATGGCGACAACAACAAATTACATTTGTAAAGCGCCTTTCACGTCGGAAGGACATCCCAACAGAAGTGAGTGATGTTGTGAAGATGGAGAAAAGCGGATGTGGTGAAAGACTGATTGAAAGGTTGAAAGGAGAGATGATGTTGAACAAAATTCCACCAATCCTTTATAGCAGCAATTTCTTTTTTTGTTCCCCAATTCAATTTCCAAATGTGTAAAATATAGTTGTTTATGTGAAATATTAAGCTGGTAAACTTCCATGTACAGAGGGAGGCTACTTATTTTGATGTAGACTTTGGCCCACGTGCGTACAGTCAACTCCTGATATCTCGACCCTGGCTTAAATTGTCACAACCACTTAAGTCATCATGCTGTCAATATTCTGGCTGCATTTATTTATGTATGTATACATACACCTAACTCGCTGCTCCGGGTAACTTGTCATTGAGCTTTGCCTTAGTGTTACGCGTTATCGGAAGTTTACTATATATTAAGATAAACCAATAACATTATTCTGTTTCTTCCCTCTCCCCTTGCAAAGTGAAATTAGAATTCTGGAGATAATAACAAAAATAATAATAATCCTTGCCTTCAATAAAGCACCTTATCAGATCTTCGAGACGTCACAAAGCTCTTAACAGAATATACTGTAAAGTGTAGTGACTCTGTATTTTGCGGGCAAAATGCGGCAGTCAATTGCGCACAGCAGCGTCCCACAAATAATCGGATTTAGTGACCAAATTATTATTATTTATTTTATTTATTTTGAAGAGATTATTAACCCCGGAAAAGGGATCCGCCAATCGACTAACAACTGGGTTCCTATTTACTGCTGAGTAAACCAAGGCACATGGAGTAAGGAAATTTACCTTGCATTTGTTATAGCACTTTTCACGTCGGGAGGACGTCCCAAAGCGCTTCACAGAACACACTGTAAAGTGAATTGACTGTATATTTGTGGGCGAACGCAGCAGCCAATTGCGCACAGCAATGTCCCACAAACAGTCGTAGATTGAAAATGACCAATTTATTATTGTTTTTAGTTTTGGAGGGATTATTATTAGGCTCTGTGTGGAGTAAGGAAACTTGCCCAAGGTTTCGCCCTCTGCCCAGAATTGAACTCAGGTCTCTCGCTTGCAAAGCGAGCGCTCAAACCACTGAGCTACAGGACTCCACATCTTTCTGTAACTGCGTGCTTGATCTCCTTATTTGTTTGTTTGCAGAGGAGATGTCAACATACCTTCGCTACGTGAGGAGGTTAGACTTCTTCGAAAAACCAGACTATGAGTACTTACGTACACTTTTCTCAGAGCTTTTTGAGCGAAAGGGCTACACATTTGATTTTGCATACGACTGGGTCGGCAGGCAAATAGTAAGTAATAATAATATTTCTGTCTGATTTGGACAATCTAGGACAAAGCGTTTTCACTGACCAAAGAACAAGGTTCCACCTGAAGGAATTAAACTAATGTTGTAAAAATAAAGCAGATAATAAAATGATTAATGCGGTATGTTACGTTACCGGCCTGTCCACTCCCTCCGCTCAGCTGGCACTGGCCCGCTCCATGACCCCTGCCCGCCCCACCATCAACATTTGGTTCGACCACCACTCTGCCCCACCACCCCGGAACTCCATCCCAGAGCCTCTCAGCCTTGTTCCCACCCTCGCCTCCTTCAAGGCAAGTCTCAAGACCTTATTCTTTGACTGTGCCTTCGGTATTCCTCCCACCCCCCACCTTGCCCTCCACCCCTCTTGACTCCAAACCCAGCTCAGGTGCAAACCCTTGACTGTCCAGTGGCTTGGGACGTCTTCCCAATTTGAAAGGCGCTACGTAAATGCAATGCTTTGTTATTATGTGAATGGATGGATATATGGGTTCCACTCTTCTAGCAATAGGCCTTACTATTTTAAATGAAGAAAATTGGTCACTACTGTTCCACCCAACAATTCTCTTTCCTGTGGACCCTCCAATCTAACTCGCTTCCAATTTGGCTAATTTTTTGTCTAAAACCGATAATTTTGTTCACAGCTCCCAGCCATCATAGAATCATAGAAAAGGAGGTCGTTCAGCCCCTTCAAGTCTGCATTGGGCACGTCAGAGAAACAAACTGAATTCCCATTTCATGAGAGATTTCAGAGAAATGCAATCCTTCCATGAGGGGCAAAACATTCAGAAAATCTAGTCGGTTATTTGTGGCCCTTTGGATATTTTTTAGTAGTTATGCAATCTCTGGTTCACATGTTAATCTTATAAATAAACATTAGCATCCGCCTCTGTATATAGAGGCTCTGGCTGATTACTCTTCTGTCTGTCTCATTTGTCATTTGTGATGGCCATCGTTTCTCTATCCACAGCCCACACCACTTGGATCCTCTCATGAATCTGGAGTAACTCCCATAAACAGAGAGAATAACACACGGGAGAAAAACCAGCAGCAGCCAGTCCGCAACCAGGTCTGTACAGAGCCCTGCTGGCAGTCTGGCTCATTCCTTGCCGAGCGCCTTGATTTCATCGGCCTTTCTGAGGCGTGAAAAGTTACTATTTAGAAACTGGCATTACCTAATTCACTAACCATTACCTGTGAGAGGGACTGACTTGTGTTACCCACATAAACTAGTTTAATTAAATTGCTGCTGGGAGATCAGAGTTGCTTTTGCTACAGCAGTAGGCCATTAAATAAACTGGGCAAGTTCACACTGGAGAAGAGAAGGCTGAGGGCGATATGATTATGATCTTTAAGATTTTGAAGGGAATAGATAATGTAGACCATGAGAAGCTGTTTTATCTTGTACTGAATTAGTAGAACTAGAGGACACAGCCTGCGATTGATCTGCAGAAACTTTACTTCAGTGAGCGAGGAGTAAACGTATGGAACAGGCTCACTGGGGAAACAGATGGTGGAAGCAGAAACTGTTGATTGTTTCTAGAAAAAATGGGATAGATTTTTGCTAGAAAATAATATCTGAGGATACAGTATATAGTTCGGGACACGACATGTCAAGCGACTGCTTGGTGGAAGGTGAACTAGATGGACCTTGGTCTTCGTTCGCCAGCAAATTCTTATGAGAACGTCCTTGATAAGCCTCGCCGACATTTAATTACTTTAAAAGTGCTCTGGGTTTCATTTGTAAGCCAAATGGAGACCTGCGTTCCACGATTTCACTCTGCAGAGGGAGTTTCTGTGATGTACTGCTTTACTGATGTTACGTGATGTGAATGAACCCTTAGAAGAAGCTGATTGAGAAGTGTCGAGCAAATGTCCATAATAGCTACAGTCTATAACCAGTACTGACATTTTCACCACCTAAGCACTTCTTGAATTAGTATGTTGAGTTCAAAAACCATTCCAGAGATCCCACGCAACTGTAGCTGTGAGCTCTGCAGACAAGAGATGGAATGATGAATCTCAAGAAGATGGGGAAGGAACAGATATGCAGTTAACAAACAGATTGCCATCCACACTGGCCATTTTCTGTACCAAAATAGGAGAGAGTGATTCAGATATTTTCTGTGGACAAATAGATTGAGCGTTTTAATTGCTCTGTTGCAACATTATGTCTGCTTGGGATCTCGTTTAATATTTCAAGGAACTTTGTCACTGAGATGTTTTCGTTTGTGAATTAAAATTATTTTATTATATTTGATTTAATAATTTAAACACTCTGGGATGCTACCCTGTATGAGGAGGGTTGTATAATTGTTGTTGATTCTCACCACTGCAGTGAGGTGATCGCTCTCTGGTTCGTAGTTTTTAAGTTTCCATCCCGTCTATACCATAGAATCATAGACAATAACAGCACAGGAGGAGGCCATTCGGCCCATTGTGCCTATGCTAGCTCTTTGAGTGAGCTACCAACTAGTCCCACCCTCGCCTTCTTACCCCGTAGCCCTGCAAATATTTCCTTTTTAAGTACCTATCTAACTCCCTTTTGAAAGCTATTATCGAATCTGCTTCCACCACCCTTTCAGGCAGTGCATTCCAGACTGTAACAACTCTCTGTGGGGAAAAAAAATAATTTCTGCTTGTCTCCCCTCTGGTTCATTTCCTAATTATCTTAAATCTGTGTCCCCCGTTTACCGACTCACCCGCCAGTGGAAACAATTTCTCCTGCTCTACTCTATCAAAACTCCTCATAATTTTGAACACCACTTTTGAACATTAAATCTCCACTCAACCTTCTCTGCTTTAAGGAAAATAACATATGCAGCGATTACAGGGAATGTTAGTTTTATTGCATATAAAGCTCTTTGTTTTAGTTCCTTCATGCTGTTGCTTGTGGAGGAGGAAAGAGGAACAAAGATGCTTTTTTTCTCCTCTTTCCTTCCCCCGTGCCTCACGCATGGTCTTTCCTTTACCATACCATCTTCTCTGTCAGGAGCACAAGCCAAATGGGCCAAAAGCTCCTGCAGCCTTTGAGATCTTGGTGCTTCACTCACAAAATAGTCAATTCGCATTGCAGTGTATTCATGAAGCGCTTTGAGACGCCTCGAAGGCATGATATAGTGCTGTATCAAATACAAGGATTAATATTCACTTTGTTCACTCGTTTGATGGGAGACGCAAATCATCTGCAACGCGAGTGTACCCCCTTGTGTGTCTCCACTGCTGTGTACAGTACAGTTCCACTTCTCTTGCGACACCCTTGCCTCTGTTTGGTGCACACTCTCTGAATTGTTTTTCACGTTTCCTTACAGCTTCTTTTTACTTCCTTCACTTTATTTCCAACTGTGTTAGTGTGCCACATGAGGCATATCTAATCAGTGCATGAATTTGTTCTTTTGCTTGCCTGTTTACTAATCACTGTTGACTAACTGTTTGTTTCACCACTTTGCTCTGCTGTATGGGGCCCACCCTTGTCATCCCCACTTCTCTAACCAATGAGTAGACCGGGATGGCTGATCGCAGAGGAGCATGGGAAGTTCAGCCAAATCGACAGCAAAATCCCTCTTACTTGACTTCCCATCTGACCTCCGACAGACACGGGGGATCAGTGCAGGTATCCAATTCTTTGTCACTTTTATTTTAAAAAATGGGCCACGATTTACTCTTAAACTCTTACTAAAAGCCTTCACAAACCAAAAGGTCATTAACCCAATAGTGTGCATGTTGTATCCTTGTCTGAAACATAGAGTTAAATACGATTTGTTTGATTTGTGGAGTCAGAGAATCCAAATTCTGCAGGAATCGACCTTGTTGTGGGAATGACTACAATGTGGTTATTGAGGCTATCAGAAAATCGCAGGCAGTGATTTTGTTGTGGAAACCGCCAATTTTTGTAGTTGTTGCAACTTTTAATGACTATGCGCTCCCACTGAACCATCCATCCTTCCATCAACCCACTTCTCACACTCATTGGGACCATCCGCCTGACCATCAAATTTGGACCACAAAATTCACGACTTTCCTACAGTCTTCGTCAATATGTAAAATACAACGTGCAGCTCTTACTCATGTCCATTCTTTCTCTCTCTCTCTCCTCATCTCCTCTCCCCCTACAGTACCAGCCCTCTCTCTCTCTCTCTATCTCTTTCTCCCACACATAGTACTGTAATGAAATATTTCTGCTAATGGACAACTCCCTGAATGCTATCAACAGCAACGTTTAACTGATGTATCTGGAATTTGGTTGCAGGAAAATCTTCCATTTCACCATCCTCCCCATAGGAGTAGAAGCCCAGTCACAAAATACATTGGGGTGGAGGCAGTGAGCTGCTAACTTCTCCCAATAACGTTGCAAGCATGTTCCCCGGACACAGCAGTGAATCGTGTAATTATCTCACTGCGACTGGGAAATCCTCACTCTCGTGATTGTTTACAGGTGGTCAGTTCAACAAACGGCGAGCTCAATACTGATGACCCGACAGCAGGGCAATCCAGTGCACCAATCACAACCCAACAAGACACAGACACTGCAGAAGACACCAAGTATGTGATCTATGTTGTGTGTACTGTCTCTGGCTTGGTGAATGCTCCATCTCTCACTATTTATCACTTCCTCCTGTTAGTGCTGTAGTGTGCATTATTGTACATGTGCGCACACTGGTTTAACTTTTGCACATTGCCAAAAAGGTCAAATTTTTTTTTGAAGGGCAGTTGGAAGGCAAATTGATCCCAATTCATGTCTCTTTAGGAACTTTTCTTAAGCTGTTCTTGATTTGTTTGAAATTTTTTTTAAAAGTTCAAATTTTGAATTGCAATTTTTTTTGCACTTGCTCAATTCTAATAGAGAGAGATTTGTCAGTCTGCTTGGAAAATAATCCAAAGCAGCAATGCTTCAGTTAAATCAAATCAACGACTCAGCCCTTGAGAGAGAAGGAATATCAGTGTGGAAAGGCTCATTGATCGATAAAACCAATTCTGCGATCTCTTCCATTCCTAATGCATTGCCATTATTTGTGTTATCCAATGGCGCTTAACATACACTGTAAAATAGTGTCTCCAAAATAAACTAGTAATGTGCAATCACATTCCCCAAATCACCCAAATTTTAAGCATCTTGGTATACAGTGTTAAACTGTCCAAGATGGAACTAAATAGGGGAGATTGTCTGTTCTAACACTGAAGATAATTTCACAGACCAACTTTGGTCATCATTTCATTAACCCAGCAACCTCAGCATTCCATTAGTGCTGTTCTTCTGTGATGAATAGTGAACGTGTGGAGCATTAACCTTGATTGAAGTGATTCTGGCTGATGACTGCATGCACAGTGTACTGTGATTCACATGGATGGAACCGCAGACCGCAGTCTCCACGATCCGTTTAACCCTTTCACTGTCTCATTGGGTTAATCTTGGTTGCTCTCCTTGTCACAGGGCAACTGATTTTATTAGACAAATGATTATTATTCTTGAACTAAGTAGTTAGTTAGGTGCCTGTTCTGATTTTGAGTGCCATACTGATGGAAACTTTGTTGTAGGTGACCCTATCCCATAGACTGAGAAGGGATCGGATTGCTAGGTAGTACCTGCACATTAACAGTCTCTTTCAACTTCAGTCCAGAGAGATTTCAGACTCTTGTTTTAAAGGTCCAGTTTCAATGAGGAATTTCTGGCTTGCAAGCACAAAAACACAGCTGCAGATCAGAGCATTAAAGGTAATTAGTACATGAATGAACAATAGATTAGTATTTACCATAGAGTGGGGACGGGGTGGGGGGGCAAAACAATTTGCTCAGCAACTTGCAGTTAGGTAAAGTGGGGACTTCTGGTCACCTATTCCTAGTATGGATATTAATGTCCTTGAAAGGCTAGTGGAAATCTGGAACTCTCTCGCCCCCCCCCCCCCCCCCCCCCCCCCAAAGACTGGATGTTGGATCCATTAACATTTGCAAGACTGAGGTGGATAGATTTCTGTTAGGGTCAAGGTATCAAGGGATATGGGGCAAAAGCGTTGAGGTACAACCATGATCTTATTGAATGGCAGAACAGGCTCGAGGGGCTGTTCCTATGAA